GTGTCGGTGGTGTATGCTGTGTGTTGTGTGTTGTGTTGTGTTTGGGTTGTTTGTGTTGTTTGTGTTGTGTGTGTTGGTTGTGCGTGGGTTGGTTGTGTATGTGTGTGTTGTTTGTGCGCTGTGTGTTATGTGTGTGGTGTGTGTTGTGTGTGGCGTGTGTTGTGAGTTGTGTGGTGTGCGCTGTGTTCTGTGTGTTGCGTGTTGTGTGGTATGGGTTGTGCGTTGTGTGGTGTGTGGTGTGTGTGTGTTGTGGCGTGTTGTGTGGGTTGTGTGCGTTGTGTGGTTTGAGTGTGTTGTGTGTTGTGTGTTGTGAGTGGTGTGCGTTGTGTGTTGTGCGTGGTGTGTATTCGTTGTGTGTGTTGCTTGTGCTGTGTGCTGTGTGCTGTGTGTTGTGTGCGTTGTGTGTTGCGTGTGTGTGTGATGTGTGTGCTGTGTGTGCTGTGTGTGGTGTGTGCTGTGCGTTGTGCGTTGTGTGGTGTGTGGTGTAGAGAGTGTGGTGTGTGGTGGGTGTGTGTGTTTGTGTGTGCGCGTGGATGTGCGTGTGCGTGGGTGTGCGTGTGTGTGTGTGTTTGTGCGTGTGCATGTGTGTGCGTGTGTGCGTGTTTGTGGTTGTGCGTGTGTGTCTGTGTCTGGGTCGGTCTCTGTGTCGGTGTCCGTGTCCGTGTCCGTGTCTGTGTGTACGTGCGCGTGTGTATGTGTGTGTGTTCGTATATGTGTGCGTGTGTGTGTGCGTGCGTGTGTGTGCGTGCGCCTGTGCGCGCGTGTGCGTGTGTGTGTGCGTGTGTGCGTACGTGTTGATCCCAGGGCTTCGCCCTCTCTCGGCCTTGACGTGGGGCCCCGCCTTCTGTTGCCCTCCCTCCCTAAGTAATGCTGTACGCGGCCCGCTCAGCATCTATCGGAAGAGGTTTGCTCTCGCCCCGCAGATCAAAAAGTGTGCGTACGTGTGTGTGTGTGTGCCTGCGTGTGAATGTGCGTGTGTGCGTGCGTGTGTGCGTTCGTGTGTGTGTTTGCGTGCGTGCGTGTGTGCGTTCGTGTGTGCTTGCGAGCGTGTGTATGTGTGTGAGTGCGTGCGTGTGTGCGTGTGTCTGTGTGTGCGTGCTTGTGCGTGCATGTGTGTGCGTGTGTGTGCGTGTGTGTGTGCGCGTGTGGGAGTGTGCGTGTTCGTGGGTACGGGTGTGTGTGTGTGTGTGCGTGTGTGCGGGTGTGTGTGTGTGTGTGCGGGTGTGTGTGTGTGCGTGCGTGTGCGCGCGTGTATGTACGCGTTTGTGCGTGTGTGCGTGTGTGCGCGTGTGTGCGAGTGTACGCGTGCGCGTGTGTGCGTGTATTTGTGCGTGTGCCTGTGTGTTTCTGTGGGTGTGTCTGTGAGTGTGTCTGTGTGCGCCTGTGTGTGGGGGTGTGTCTGTGGTCTGTCTGTGGGTGTGTCTTTGGGTGTGTCTGTGTGTGTGGGTGTGTATGGGTGTGTGTGTGTGTGTGCGTGTGTGTGTGTGTGCGCGTGTGTGTGTGTGTGCGCGTGTGCGTGTGTGTGTGTGTGCGTGATGTGCATGGTGTGCGTGGTGTGTGTGTGTGTGCGTGTGTGTGTGCGTGTGTGCGTGCGTGTGTGTGTATGGTGCGTGTTCGTGTGTGTGTGTGGTGCGCGTGCGTGTTTGTGTGCGGGAGTGGTGTGTGTGTGTGTGCGTGGTGCGTGGGTGTGCGCGTGTGTCTGTGTGTGTGTGTGTGTGCGTGTGTGCGCGTGTGTTTGTATGTGTGCGTGTTCGTGTGTGTGTGCGCGCGTGCGTGTTTGTGTGTGCGGGAGTGCGTGCGTGTGTTTGTGTGTGCGTGCGTGCGTGGGTGTGCGCGTGTGTGTGTATGTGTGTGCGTGTGTATGTGCGCGTGTGTGTGCGTATGTGCGGGTTTGTGTGTGTGTGTTTGCGTGTGTGTGGATGTGTGTGTGTGTGTGCGTGTGTGTGTGCGTATGTGCGTGCGTGTGTGCGTGTGTGTGTGTGTGCGTTTGTACGTGTGTGCGTGTGTGCGTGCGTGTGTGCGTGTGTCTGTGTGTGAGTCTGTGTGTGTGTCTGTGTGTGCTTGTGTGTGCCTGTGTGTGTGTCTGTGTGTATGCCTGTTGGTGTGTCTGTGGATGTGTCCCTGGGTGTGTCTATGGGTGTGTGAGTGTGTGGGTGTGTGTGGGTGTGTATGGGTGTGTGTGTGTGGATGTGTGTGGGTGCGTGTGTGCTGACCACGCAGTGGGCTTGCATGCTCCTGTGGGGTGCGACACCCCAGCCAGTCGGTCTTCATATAGTTGTCACCGGTTGTCCGTGTGAACGCTCGAGGTGGCCCACACATGGCATCAATTGTTCACGGCTGTGCCGCACGAGCATGTTTCGACCGATTTAATGTCTGCATCCCGCCATACGTTGCCACGTGTTGCTAGTGTTTTGGTGCTCTGATGTGTCATGTCTGACCGAGGTGCGCTCCTTCATGTGGCCTATGTTGGAAAGGGTCTCGCCGAGGGAAAGAAGGTTTTACCGATCCTCCTCGGCGGAGCCTGGCGGAAGTGGGTTAGTGAAGTTTGTTGACGGAAGTTTGGCATAAGCCGTCAAAAGTGAAGGTCCAGTTTCAAGGAGGTGTTCGGAGGTTCGAGAGTCGACCATGCAGTCACCACACCATCCACCCATGCGCTCTCCACACAAGTCCGCCCATGCGCCCGAAGGCAAATGACAGTGAAGGAGTTCAATGACGCCAGGGCCGATTGGGACGTCGCTGAAACGGATGGGGACTGATGCCGGGTGGCGATATGTTAGTCTCTGGTCTTGTTTCTTTCTCTGCCAAGTTATCAGCGACAGACCCTGCCACTATGCCAGCGCAGTACGAAGGAGAGTATGTTCAATACTTGCTCTAGTTCATTGCCATGCTTGAAGTAGCGCGTGTCGTGAGCACCATCTCCGTGACCGCATCCTCGTTATCTAGTGTGCTTCCTCTATCATCATGTTCATATTCCTCCCCCCTTCCCCTCCCTCTTCAACTCATGTTGGAAGCGTGTTGGAAGCGTCTTCGGTGCGAGTTCCACTCCAGGGATGATGTTTGCAACGTCGAGCGCAAAGCGCTCTCGCACAACAGGGCAGCGTTGGTTTAGAAGTGCTGCTTGCTTGCTCACGGCATTGGGAATGGAATGTGGCGCGTGCAGTCGCTTATCAGGGTAGAAAGCGAGGTGGGCGGGAGGCTTCAGCAATGATGCTGAAAAAAACAGCGGTGGGAATTGGATTATGGTGATGAGGGGAGACGACGACAACGACGAGAAGGAAATCGGCGCACCGCTGCCCAGGCCTTGCAGTTCGGCTGGGCTAAGGGCGACCGCATTCTGCAAGTCAACGGCTTCCCCGTGACGAACATGGGGGAATTGTCGAAGGAGATATCCAAGGCGATGAGCTCGTACAAGGCCGCAGAGTCTGCCTCCACTATCCTCTTCCGTCGTACCCTCCTCCCCTTCACCCGCCTCGTCGTCTTCCTCATCCGCCTCTCCGTCCTGCCCACTCCTCCCTCCTCACCTCCCTCCTCCCCCTCGCGTCATCCATCTCCTTGCCATCGCCTCAGCCTCCTCGCCCTCTTCCTGCCTCATACTCTCCTCTCCTGCCCTCGTACACAACACAGCAATGCTAGCCAGTGCGGACCCCAAACCGTGAGTTATTGCACCGTGGAGGTGCAGGCTATGCGGCGCAGGCTATGTGGTAGTCACTCGTCTGGTCAAGCCACGTCGTGTGAGCAGGGTGCTTCGAGCCACAGCGTGCCAGCTATGCGCTGTGACCCATGCGGTGTTGGCTGTGCGGTGTAAGCCATGCTGTGTGAGCTGTGTCGTCCAAGTTCCCACCGAGGGCACGGGGGCGCCGGCGAGGCGCCCACGGGGCGGGCACCGGGCGAAGCCTCTCGGCGGACCCACCCGGGGGGGCACCAGGCGAAGCCTCTCGGCGGGCCCCCCCGGGCCACGGGGCGCCCGCGGGGCGCCCACGGGGCGGGCACCGTGCGAGGCCTCGGCGGACCCACCCTCGGGCACGGGGGCGCCATCGGGCGGGGTGGCCGGCGAGGCCTCGGGGGGGCCCACCCCAGGGGCACGGGGAGCCCACAGGGCGCCCACGGGCGGGAGCGTGGAAACTCTTCGGCGCATGCGTCCAATTACGTATACACATTGCTCGTGTCTAATTATTCGAGAGTTGTTTGATTTTTGGGGGGCCCAAGACCCTTTCATTTCTAGTTGTTCTATTCTGGGCCTCTTCCTGGCCACTAGGGGCCAGGAACAGTTAGAAACGAGCACATTAAGAAATGAGCACGATTAGAAATGAAGGACGTGTAGAACTCAGCAAAGTAAGAACCAATTAAGTTCAAGCACTTTTGGGGGAACAGCCATAAATCTGAGACTGATCGCTCCTCGTTGCTTGCCCCAAGCCCTCGACTCCCGCCCTCTTTGCTTATGAACGTACCCGACGGGGTAAGCCCGACAGGGTAACACGACCGGGTCGGGCGGGCGGACCCTGACGGGCGGGTCGGGCAGGCGGACTCTCACAGGCAGGACGGGCGGGCGGGATGTTAGAGCTGGCAGGCTTCCACGCAAGGATACACGCGGACCCCACCTGGGCGGGACCCCACAGCGGGGGGGCCTGACTCCGGGTTCGGGCGGACGGACCCGAACGGGCGGGTCGGGCGGACGGGGCCCTACTGGTCGGGCCGGGCGGGCGGACTCCAATTGGCGGGTCGGGAGGGCGGGACATGAAAGCGCAATTCCTGAATTAATCTTGGGGAGGTATCGGACGAGAGCGCGATTCCCAAGTAATACGTAAGGAAGTCCTGGGCGAGAGTGCAGTGCTTGAGCGGCGAGAGCGCGATTCCTGTTAAACTGCGAGGGAGTCGCAAGCGAGTCCCAGGTTCCTGAGCAGCGAGAGCGTGATTCCGTAGTAAATGTTGACGTCCCAGGCGAGAGCGCGATGTTCCAGCGTCCCGAGCGAGAGCTCGATACCTGCGTAAACTGTGAGGGGGTCTCAGGCGGGAGCCGTGATGTTGCAGTCCAGGGGCCAGGGGCGCACTGTTAAGCTTGAAGATTTCTCCTGACGATAAGCAGGGTGCGAGCTCCAGGGGGGCTCAGGTCAGGTCCAGTGTGCCAGGCGCCTGCACGGCGCGTCGGCAAACAAAGCTACCTTGAGCTTCGCACACGTCCTGAGAAAAAACAAAAATCATGGTAGACTGCCAGTGGGAGCAGGAGGAGGAGACACGAAGAGAAATCGGGTCAACTCTCTCCAAGAGGAAATGGTTCAGTCAAAACCGGCCCGCCCTAGCGGCACGTCAGGCGGTGCAACAAGGAGCCTTGAGCGTTGGTCAGTAAATCGCGAAACAACTCGCATTGCCCCTGGGAGGGGGGGAGGAGGAAGGACAGGGGAGGCGGAGGACAAGGGTGCGAGAGGGAAAGGCTAGGTCCTGCGATCGTCAGCAAATTTGTAAACGCACTGAGCCCATTGTTGTTTGGGCCTCCCACGCCGTCCATTCAAAACCCACCGTCGTGGCTCACACACGAGCCCAGCTTGCAAGTCAGCGCCCTCAGCGGCGGAGATCGTAGTACGCCTTTTTGCCCTGCAGGATAGCTCTCAGGGGTCGTTGTCCTGCCTTCTGGAAAATTCTTGATTCGACATCCCCGATCGATAAGAGCACGGCATCCGTAGTATTATACGAAGGCACCGGGCGCGGAAACCGTCCAGACGGCGTCTGTCCGCTTGCAGCAACCAAATTCAATCATTTGTGTACGACAGTTTTGGTTAGACCATCGCAGTGTAAAGTTCTATTTTGCGATGTCTGGAAACATGCGCATACGACCTACAACGCTGCCCAGCTACGAATTTGCCCTTCGCCTCGCCGATCCGCCGTGAGGCTTCTGGCCGCGCTGCCCCATCTGCTGTGATATGTCCTAAATGTATGGCTTGCTCCACTGTCTTCACTGGGGCCACCGACGAGGCGAAGATAGCACCATCATGTTTTATGCGTAAGGCTACTGTTTTGTTCCAGTTTTAGTTCCCTACCTAGGCTCTGCCTAGAAGGGTTCTTACTCTCTGGGCTTAAAGGGGCTGGGCAGTGGAAAGCGCCCCGGGCGGTTCCCCCAGTATCCGCCCCGCGGTTCCCCCAGTTACGTCCCCTTAGCTTAGCGTTGCTTATCTCATCTTAGTTTAGCTTATTTCATATTAGCTTAGCTTAGCTTCATCTTAGCTCAGGTTTATATTAGCTTAGCTGACCTTCATATTAGCTTCGCTGAGCTTTAGCATAGCAGAGCACAGCATAGCATAGCGTAGCATAGCATAGCGCAGCACAGCATATCATAACATAGCCCAGCATAGCATAGCATAGCGCAGCATAGCATAGCATAGCGCAGCACAGCACAGCACAGCACAGCACAGCATAGCACAGCGCAGCATAGCATAGCATAGCATAGCATAGCTGAGCATAGCATAACATAGCATAGCAGCAAAGCAAAGGCAAAGCAACAGCAGCGACAGCAAAGCAAAGCACAAGCAACGCAAAGCAAAGCAAAGCAAAAGCAAAAGCAAAGCAAAGGGGGTCCCACGAGGGAGCCCAAACACTTCACATCGTTAAACAGCTGTTTTCATGTATTCCCTTCCTAGGCTCTGCCTAGAAGGGTTCTTACTCTCTTGGCTTAAAGGGCCGGGCAGTGCAACCCGCCCCGGGCGGTTCCCCCGGTCCCCTGGGAGCCAAGCAAAAGCAACAGCAAAGGTAAAAGCAAACGCGTGGTTCCCCCAGTTGCGCTCCTTGGGTGCCAAGCAAAAGCAAAAGCAAAGGCAAAAGTGAAGGCAAAAGCGAAGGCAAAGCAAAAGCATAGCATAGCATAGCATAGCGCAGCATAGCATAGCGCAGCATAGCCTAGCCTAGCCTAGCCTAGCATAGCATTGCGCAGCATAGCATAGCATAGCATAGCATAGCATAGCGCAGCACAGCATCCACGGCGGTTACCGCTCCTACTAATGTTGCTTTCCTAGAGGCTGCAACTCCCAGGTAGGGTCGCACTGGGATAAATTCAATCCGTAGAAAGCCCCACCGTTGACGACCGTGTCCAGCAGGAGTTTCAGCAGTCTGGTTGTGTCGCTGCTGGCAGGCATGGTGTCGTCAGCGTACAGCAGATCTTTGGTAACAAGAAGAGTTGGCTCTTCAACGCCCAGGCATCAAGGGAGGAAAAGCCACCCGGACCCGACGAGTGGCGTTTACTAGACGGCCCTGGGCGGTTACTAAACAGCCTTGCCATGTCTGATTCCTCCTTCGGGTGCGTTCACTACACGGCTTCGCGTGTCGGGGTGGTTATTTATCGGGGTGGATCTTCTGCCCTCTGAGGTACGCAACTGCCATCGCCATGTCGACGTCGCAGCGCGCGACAGACTGCGCAGGAACGAACGGGTGTGGCGGCGGAGGGCAGCCATGCGCGCCATCCCCGCCCTCTGGCATCTCGGGTTCTGATGCTCCAACCAAATTTAGCCTCGATCA